TGCTGGGAAGAAAATTAACTATCCCAATTGAAACCAGGACAAATAGAAAGTGAGATTTAGAATAATTTTCTTCCCATTTTCTATCCATAAGCAGTGTTGGTCTTTGAATTACATAGCTCCTATTTATTTTTTAAAGAAGCATTAACATTTTCTGAAGCCTCCTGGCTACCTTTAATGGGTTCACCAATTTGCTTCAATACAAACAAAACACAGTGTTCAAACCTTTGCTACCTTCCCCTGTAAGATTCAGTAATGGAAAACCCTAAAGGGAGTGGAAGACCCAGCACAAGGAAACTCAACATCAGGGTACTTGTGGTCTTTCTTCACCTTATCTGTCCCCATGCAAAAGCCCGCTGGAAGAAAGAAGCTCTCATGGAAGAGCCTCCCACCCACCCTCTCCATTCATGTCTGCAAAGCTGCAGCACCCCACATCGCGCGACCAAGCCTGGCTGCAGAGTCTTTGTGCTGCCCATCGGTGGAGTGCTCCTGTCAGACGGTTGGAGGTTTTCCTCCCTCTGCTTGGACAACCCCACAGATTTCTACAATCGCTTGGGATCTAAACTTAGCCTGATAATCAATCGCAAACCACCGCACAGAACAGAGGACAAGCCTGGTATATATAGAATAAACGGCGGAGATATACTGCCACACTCTCTACTATCTGGAGTTTCTGGGGATGTCGTGCCTAGGCAGTCAGCACTGTTGGAATCTAGATGGAAGGTAAAGGCGGCACAAATAGCTAAGAGCTGCATCATCTGCCATGATGCAACAATATTACAACTAACCAGATATTACAAGGGAGCAGTATATGTAAGTTTGTACACATGCAGCATAGGTGGGAGTTTAGTATCAGTTCAGTTTTGCTAGGATGCAATTTTTTAATCCAGTCTGATCTCGCCAAAACACAAAGCCATCATGCAACTACTGGTAGGGTTCTGCGTGGTGAAAGAGAGCAGCACGTCTGATTTGCGTGGTGCTGGCACTCACTGCTGTCTAACCAATTCACCCGGAGACCAGCTGTGTGTTTTTAAAAGAATCAGGCCTAACAAACCTTGGGACAAAGATACTGTTTCCATTTCTACTTCTTGGTTGCACCTCTTCAGAAAAGATCCAGAAGATCTAAACCATTCGTAGATTGCTGCCGCTTACCTTGCAGCTGATGGTAGCAAATACAGCACAGAAGCAAAGCATAAATGTCTTAGCCATATTCAGAAAAAATAAAGGACATCATCTTTCGCTTACACCTAAGTGACTTGGGGTTTGTGCTCTGTCCCAAGATAAAATACAGCTGCATCTAGTTATTACCTGCCTAGAAAAAAGGGGGAGGGGGGAGAAAAAAAAGCTATGAATAGGCTAGAAGTCAAGGTCCAAACGGATGGGACGCTAAAACGAAAGGAGGGGAAGAGGCTTAGATGCTGGCTGCATTAAACAAAAGAGGTACCAGTCACACAAAGGCACTGGGTAGATTTGTGTCCTAAGCTAAGGTTGTGGGATTTTTTTCAGGGTGTCTGGATCACCTGTTGAATGACTCACTTTGCTCTTGGAAAGCAAACAGGCTTCTGACCCAATTTACAGAACGTGCAGGAATTACTCCGTGCGCACACAGGACTAAGGTTGTTTGTGTAACCACCAAATCTGATCACCAAGAACACAACACTACGACGGACGCATCTAATGGATAAATTCTACGGAAGGAGAGAACTCAAGTGTATTTGATCTGTTAACTGACGTTCTTCATAATATTGTGTGGTCTTGTTCTAATGCAGATTTAGAGACTGGAGACTGCTGAAGTCATTTACCACCTTGGGTTGTCCCTACAGGAGTATCTGACATCTCTGAGATCATACATTTCTAGTATTTACTCACTTATTAGGCTTAAAGGAAATTGTTTCATCCTGATCAGATCAGTTGACTTCCTTTTAGACATAAAACTGTGCTCTTTGAGACATAGCTCACCAGTAATGATGTACAGGCCTCAGAAGAAGTTTCTCATCCATCCGTAAAATCACTACTGTAGGATATTTTCACTCATCAATATGCTGGCTCCTCAGAGGATCTCCTTCCCTCTGAACACCAGGCAAACTTTGGTTTTTGACACTTTGCACTGAATAGGAGGGAAAGAACATATGATAACAACAACAAAGCACACTATAAAAACCAATTTCCTGCTCAATTAATAAACCAGAAAATCTCTCTGGCTCTCCTGTGCAGTCCTAGGAACATCCAACGTACTGCTCGATGACCAGTGGCAACAGACAAGGCCTTGTGAGTAGGAGTTAATTACACAAAGAGAAGAATCCTTGGACCTCTCACTCAAAGATTCTTCCCTCCGCACAGGTTTTTTCTGTTGGCAATATAAAGATTTAAAAACAGTTCCTGGTCCTACCTCCCACTGTTCACCTGAGAACTGCAGGACTAGAGCAGGAACTTTCCTCAGTAATGGGATTTGAGTCTTCTGGGAGATAAAGGGCACGAGAAGCAGTTTTTCACATCTTCTGAAGCCAGAGAAACAAATGAGCCGGTAACCACTAAAAAAACATTTCTTACACGTATGACACACCACCCCAATGCAAGAGTTGACCACGCTGTTCTGAGCTCCTCCTGCCCTGCTTCTGCTGGCCTCTAGCCGTTCTCTTCCAGCCCTCCTGCTTTTTTCTTCTCCCAGCTCTTCACTCCGCATCAGGTACCTGTCCTAATGAACAACCATCTTTCAGGGGGCAGGCTAGGGGATAACAAGTAAGAACTTTCAGCCATGAAATCCATCTCGTTGTTTACAGAGCACAGCTTTCTGTGAAATGCAGCAGTGACTAAATGAGCCAAAAAACCATATCTATCAACTACTTTGAAACATAAATCATTTGTAAACAGCATGTCTCATCTCTCTGGGAGCCTAGAAGTAAAGCAGTATTTTCAGTCTCTCACCCTCGGGAGAGGATGAGAAAAAGCAGGCACACACTTGAAGGTTTCAGTTTGGAAAATATGCCTGACTGAAAAACATTGTTGTTCACTGCTTAGAGCTTCAAATGAAACAAAAGCCAAGTTTTAAAATTCTTCCCTCGAACTAACATTTAAATGCAGTAACCCACAGATTCTTCCCATTCATAAAACTCAGCTTTGTGTTTTAGGACGGTTACCACAGGAGCCACATTTTTACCTGCCCTATGACACCTGACAGCTGGGAACTGCACCGGCCATCTGCCATCGCCCTGGCTTAATCCACTGCAGCTCTGAGTAGACAGGCAATGCTGCGGAATGGCTGCACACCCTGACTAGTACTTTCACTGCCAGCTCACCTGACTGACTGCGACTTCGTTTGTTTGATTTGCAGGTAGGGACAAGATACATTTTACAGTTGCTCAGAATGAAGACTGGAGTAAGAACTAGTGAACTCTCCCATTTTAACCAGCTACAAAGCACGCAGAGCAGGGAAACAGACCAGAGCCATTGGTCAGCCCAGGCTAGCACACAGACAGTTGACCTAGTAGTGAAGTGATACCCCCCGGACACCCTAAAGTGCACAAACGCTTTCAGAGTGTCTCTGCAGAGTTATACAAGGTGCTGCTCCGGGGCCAGCGAGAACGTCGTCCGGCACCTCACCGTGCCTGACGTATCCACAGCCACGCAATGCACAGCTAAGAAGTCGTCCTGCTGTTCAGCCATAGCCATCACCGCGCCCTTCGCTAGAGCATGTACTCTTCTGTTTGGTTATTTGCAGTGTTCTGAACTGTAAAAATACCCAGCATGCTTTCAACAGCATGTCAAATAAAGATGTCCCCACAAGAGAGCAGCAAGTCTCTCAGCTTGCATTGCAAGGGCCTTTCAGTTTCTTCAAATAGAAATGGCCGGAGTAGTGGGGAAGAGGTAAAAAAAAGTTACTCCACGTGAAACATACTAACCACAGTTGAGAAGAGTGGGAAGCACCAGTGGCAGACTTCCTTTTGGGAATTAAGGGCAAAGAATTTGGGAAGCAGAACATCAGCTGAGTGCCATGAAAACTTCTGTTTTCTCTCAAATCTGTTCCTTTTTTCCTACAGTCTGAAATCAGCCACTTTAGTCATCATTTCCCTGAGGTAAAGACCACTGTAGTTTTGTCTTATGTGTGGTTAGTTTGCAAGATGAGAAGTCTGGTGTTTTTATTTTTAAAAACTTAGCAAAAAATAGTAAAAGAAAAATACTTTGAGGGGCTTTCCAGCAGTACTTAACGACAGTTTCACTCCTACAGCGCAAACAATACTAAGCAAACTGGTCTCTGCAGGGATATGAAAGGAAAATGAGGAATGAGCTGGTTTATGGAGATGTACGCTTGAGTGCTGACCATTTTTCAGACCACTTCATGAGCTATTTTTGAGTCGGTATTCAAGACAATATGACGTTTACAGTGTAGATCATCAACCTACACAAACAAGCTGCTTTCCAAGAAAGACCTTGCAAGGAAGGTACAGGAAAATCAGTTTTTGACACTTAACTATTGACAAAAGCTTTTTTGCTGCAAGCCTGGTATACCACTGTTCTTTCTATCAAAGTTACCATGGAAAGAACAACTAAAACTACTCAAGCTGTCAATAAGCATGACCCTGCTTTGGCAGGAGGGTTGGACTAGATGACCCACAGAGGTCCCTTCCAACCCCAAACATTCTGTGATTCTGTGATGTTTCTGACAGTTTAAAAAAAAAAAATTAACGAGAAATTAGCAAGTTCCCTATTTGGAAAAGCCTTCAGGCCTGGCTGATTTTCCCAGTTAGCTCAGAAAGTAAATGTTGTCTGTCCACAACAGATTTACACTCCCCTGAAAGTACACAAGGAGCAACTGATTTCTATTCTGATCCCACAAAAGTGTGTCCTAACATAAGCAACAAGTGGCAAGTCACTGGATGAATATTCCAAATTCTGTATCGCATAAGGGACACCAGGTAAGAGCACAAAGTGGCCCCTTCCAGATAGACATATCACAACTAGGGAAAAGGAGAAAGTTGACTCAGAATAATCTAGAAAGCCTCAAAATATAAAAGTTTATTTAGCTACAGTATTAAAAAGTACAATATAAAGATACAAAACATAGATATTCCATAATTCATATGCTAAAAGAATTAATTGACCAGCCGTAAGGAGACTTCATGAAATTTACGGACGTCTTAACCATAAAGGCTATTTCATCAAGTTTCAGACTTGAAATATTGAACAACCATTGCAGAGAACTTGCTCTCCAACATCACCATAACTAGAGAAGAAAAGAAAAAGAAAACCAGAAGAAACAAAGTCAGTGTGTCTACTCTTTCTGGAACGTAACAAAGAATGCCATCCTATTCCATCTATCAACTGTAACCACGGGACTCCCACACAGCATACTCGACATTCCTTTATATCACAGAACTGTTAACAACGGTGGCAAAAACATGAGACTGCTCCTTGGGAGTGCATTCATTCATCACTGGCCAGCATACTGGGAAAGCACAAGGAATTTTTGCCTCCTAGAACATTTAAACATGAAGCTAAACTAGACTTGCACCAAGACTGGTTAGACTGCTTCACACAGGCATTTTATTTTCCACGTTTCAGGTAGTTTTACTGCTGCCAAAGCAACATGAGAAGAGTTCAAGTCCTTTATGCGGATAAGCTAGACATCTGTCGGATGTTCATACGCTACGGCCAGTTTTCAGGGCATATGTAATTAAAATAAGAACTCCCAAGGCACTTACTCGACAGTGGAGCACAGAGCACAGGTAACGGTGCTGCAGCAGCCGCAGAGCCTGCTGCAGTTCCGGCAGACGAGCTGCTCGCACTGCGCGCACGCTTCCTCGGCATCAGCGGTCCTCACGCACGACGAGCAGGCTTTGGAGACTCCCGCGGGCGGAACTGCTTGGGAAAGACGCGGTTATAAGAAGGCGTCGACCTGGCAGCAGGACAGAGCAAGCCCCCGGCAGTTCCCAGCCCTCGGCATCCGGGCTCAGCACCGCGGCTCCCGGCGGCACATTCTCCTCTCCAGCAGACCGCGCGGTCTCTA